CGGAAACGTTTACTTACCGACCGGCGAATTGCTTGAGCCGTTCAATGCACATCCTAGGGAAAGTGATGGCAGCAACGCACAAGACATTGAAAAACCTTGAGCATAGGAAGCAAGCCTCCTGGCAGAAGAGCTTCAGCCACAGGAAACATACACTATCCTGAACAGCCTTGTGTGCAAACAAGAATGCTGACTCACTGCAGTTTCCCAAGCACATGGGGCTATAGAGGTAAAAACTTTCCAGGGTAACAAATACTTTGATAATGTGTGTAGATAGCTGGTGGGTGAGACCTGCGTCCCTCACTCTGGTCTCCGGAGTAGTTGCCAGTTTGAACCCCGCCTGTCCCAAACCCAGCCTAATTCATGCCTCCCCCTGCAACCGGTATCTTCTCTCCCTCCCTCTTTCCTCTTCTTTTGTGCTACTCTTCCCAGTTGCTTCTCTCACTTTCAGCCAGTCCTCACGCGATTCCTTAACGTCTCGGCAAATTTAACATCACTTACAGGCATCACTTATTTCTTTTGAGGATCTGCCCCGCCAGATCTTAAGCATTCATCATGAACCCCAACCACTCCTCACCCCATAAGCATTCGTTTGTTCTACCGAAAAAGTCTTCATTCAGTCCACACCTGCTAAAGTCAGTGGTGATGTGTTTAAGGTTTCCACCAATGGCTTTGTATCTTAGTCCATCTCCTTCTAACCTTTCCTAGGAAGCAATCAGTCAGTCATAAATAAGCTAAGACTTCAAGAGCCAGCCTCCCCAGCTCCTACTCTGCTTCAGGCCCTGGAGCCTCTCCCATTCCAGACCCAGTTCTGAGATATGAGAGCTGCTCTTTTTTTTGTTCATACCTGTGGTGTCTTGTTGCCATGCCCTTTACTCAGCTGCTCTCTCAATTCCTGCAGTGCCTCTGTAGTCACTTGTCGTCCTCCCTTCCTTTGTGTTCTACCATGACCTTTGACCCAAGCGTGGAGTAACAGCCGTTCCTCCCATCAGCAGGACTTTTCAAAGAACAGTGTTCCATGCAGGCAACTTGAACATTGCTCTTCTGTTCCTTTTCTCCATGTTCCCTTTCTCCTGCTGCTGCAAACGCCCTATATTTCCTCCGTCATTCCTTCTTTTCAGCTGGATCATTCCAGTGAACCTAATCCACTCCTCTGGATGCGTACAGTTTTAATAGCCAGCACTCACAATTCAACCCTCTCGGATCTTCCTTCTTTCCTACATTCTATACTGAGTCTGTTTCCACCTTCCATCAATCTGGACTTTTCGAAGATCCCCTCTCTGGACCATTTTAAGTCCATCCCGTTTAATTTCTCTCTAGCTTCTCATTCTCTTGACTATACCAATTGCTTCCAATTCTTTTCCAACAAAGCTTTCTGGGCAGCAACACATCATATTCCAATTCTTATTTAAGCCACATCCTGACCTCTTTCCTCAGCTGGTTGACTGATACCTGGCTTAACATACAACTTTTCGCTGAACTTCCAATTCCGATTCTCTCTCAGTGTTCCCCATCCTGGCCTTTAAATGCCCTTTAATGCCCTTTTAATGCCCTTCCTTGTTCGCCATTTTGCAAGACTGCATGCTCTACACCAAGCCTCTTCTTAGATTTCAGCCTCAGTTCTTCTCTACGTTTTTCTTCTCTTTTTAAATACATGCCTCAATAGTTTCTCTCTCTTCCAGCCAGTTCTAACATGATACCTTAATTTCTGAGCGAACTTTAACATCATACTTCAACAACTTCATCCTGATTTCCTTTGATTATTTGCTCTGTCATAGATTATTAACATCTCTCACATTTTCAGCTTCCATCTCTAATCATAGTGAGGGATACGTTATTTTTCTCTTGAGGTATACTCCCTTAAAGATCCTCACCCACTTCTTACCAAATACAGATCGTCCCCTCACCAGACACCCTCCCGCTATGCTCTCCTGTTGGTCAAACAGGTTGCCACCATGGCTTTGCATCAAGATTCATCCTGATCTTGCCCCCTATTTGTATCAGTCAAGTCTTTTAATGAACATTATTCCATCCCTCCCAAATTCATACACCCACTACTCTACTTCTTTATATCCTAACTTTATGCTGTATTTGGGATTTTTTTTAAAGAAATAAAATATTGCATATAATTGAGATTTCCTCTGTACCACCTTCAGAATCATTTACCTCTCCTTCACTACGTAATTTGATACTTCTGTATTTATAATTTTAATAAATATTTATGTCTCCTTAAATAACATGTAATGCTATCCTTGAGGGTTTTAAATACATATATGTATGTATGCACATACATATATACACATATGTATATGTATGTGTATATAAATAAATTCTTTAAAAATTTTTTTCCGTCAAGACTTCAAGAGCTAGTCTGCTTTCTGACTTCTATCCATATCCAGGCGTTTACTTCTTATTATAACACCATTCACTGCAACCTTTAACACTAGACATTTTAACCAATTAGACCTCTTCCAAGACCTGACAGATTTCTCCATTCTGGGTTTCTTTTTTTTTTTTTTTTTATGTTAATCACCACACATTACATCATTAGTTTTTGATGTAGTGTTTCATGATTCATTGTTTGCGTATAACACCCAGTGCTCCACGCAGTACGTGCCCTCTTTAATACCCATCACCAGGCTAACCCATCCCCCCACCCCCTCCCCTCTAGAACCCTCAGTTTGTTTCTCAGAGTCCATAGTCTCTCATGGTTTGTCTTCCCCTCTGATTTCCCCACCTTCATTTTTCCCTTCCTGCTATCTTCTTTTTTTTTTAACATATAATGTATTATTTGTTTCAGAGGTACAAGTCTGTGATTCAACAGTCTTACACAATTCACAGCACTCACCATAGCACATACCCTCCCCAATGTCTATCACCCAGCCACCCCGTCCCTCCCATACCCCCACCACTCCAGCAACCCTCAGTTTGTTTCCTGAGATTAGGAATTCCTCATATCAGTGAGGTCATATGATACATGTCTTTCTCTGATTGACTTAATAATCCACATCTTATTTGCCGTTTTGTCACTCTGACTACTGAGAAACTGCTCGAATTCATGCCTGCTCCCATTAATTAAAACTCCTTTCTTCTTTTGTATTTTGTTATGCTTTACCATACCTTAACTACCCACTCGAGCTACCACATCACCGACGCTGTAGCATCCCACAGCGCCCCACGTCACATATATCAGCACCCTGCCGTGTATCCTAACAGTGGGTATGTACCTGAGCTTTCCTTCCCTCGTGGTTTCTAACCACGCAGGAAATACACATCATCTGATCTACAAACAAACCACTCACCCACACTCCCTGACTGGTCAGTTCTGATGTATTCTAAGGTCGCGAGCAACATCTTTTTAGAATTCATCTTCATAAAACTCCCTGAAACCTGGTCTGCATTTTTGCCACTCCATTCACTAAGTCTTCTCTAATTCACAGAGTGGTCCTTTTCTCCGCTCACCAACCCTCTCCTCCTCCTTATTCAGTCATAACCTTGGTCTCGGTGTGTGCCCAGCCCACCATCCTTCAAGAATCTGCCTCTCTTCAGACCCTCCCTTCACACCCGCAGTCATCTTCACTTGGCTCTTCCATCCCTTTCCTCGTCCCGTATTTTACCCCAGAGCAGCATGCTGCCCGAGCTTCTGTGTCCCTCCTTCCAGCTACTGCTTACTTCCGTCTCCTCCTTACAGATTCCAGCTGTCTCTTCAGGACAGACAGACATTGGGTGCTCACCGTTCAACCCGCTGCCATCTCCCCCAGCGTCCTACAGTCTTTACTGCGTCCTCGCTTCCTCCCAGTTCAGCATAAACTCCCACAGGATTCCTGCTGCTGGTTTGCCTTTATGTCCATGCCTCTCAGCCTATCTGGCCTTGCGCTCTACTGACCGGACACCTTACTTCCACGATCTTTCCGGCAAGGCATCCTGGACAGCAACGTCTCGAACTCCGGGTCCAACTCGGCCACCTTCTTACCCCTCTCCTTGTTCACACACAAATCTGACAAATGTCCAGCTCCCATTTGGCCCTCCTTAATGTCCTTCCATATTTATTTTTCTACCTGCATGTTCTGCACCCTTGCCTAACGCACACACGCCCTCTCCTTATGATTCCCAGGCTCCGTCTTTTGCTCTCTCCTTTGCTCTTCGCTCGTACCAATCTCCTCAGTTGCTTCTCTCACTTTCTGCAAATCCTAATACGTTTCCTTAATTCCTGAGTGTGTCTTTAACATCCTGTTACAGCACACTCTTTCCAGTTTCCCCTGTGTGTCTTAACCTTTCAGAGTGATGCGTGATGACCTTTTGAGCTTCCCTCCCCTCTGGCCCCCACTCCCTCACTCAAAACCAAGTGACTACTTTTTAGACAAGCCCTTCCCTTGGAGAGCAACTGACCAGTCTCCCTCCTTTTCCATCATGATCTTTGGCCCGAGGGTGCTGCCATATACTTCTGGTTAGTGTCAGTGACTATTTCCATGTCAACATTCAGCGATATTTTCTCATCTGATGGTAGCTTTAACTGTGCTGTTTTTCTCCTTTTTCTTGATTTTTGCCTCATAAAAACAATCTTATGTTCAGCATCCTTCTTCCACTCAGAGACTACGTATGCACGTATCATTCCCATAGGTTCAGACTCACTTCGAGATAAACAAATACCTCATATTCAGCCCTCACTGTTCAGACTGTGGACTGGATTACAGGTCCATCCCCTGTGGCCTCTCTCTACCCTCCTCTTCCACATGGCCTCCTGAACAGCTCCCCTTCCTCACCTGTTTGTAGCCACACACCCCCTCCTTCCTTTTTTCAGTCGTCATGGTCTGGATTAACATAAAACCACTCTACAAAGTCCCTCCTCTGCACATCCCAGTGTCCCTCACTCCAGCCCTCTAAAGTGACCTTCCCCCTGGCCAGGTTACTCTCCTGCAAGCTCCCTGCCCTAGCGTGAGTCACGTGGCCCCTTGCCTTATTCTAGCCTCCATTCCCTCCGTATCTCCTGTCCTTTCTTACAGGTCGCCCCAGTTGCTTCTCTGTCAGCTGGTGCTCACATGACAGGCTGCTAGCAAAGACTCGTCAGAATGGCTCTTCATCTGCCTTCATCTAAAGCAGGGATTCTCAAACTGCAGCTTGTTAAGACACAGACTCAGCAGCTCAGGTGGGGCTGAAGAACACGTGTTCAGAAGCACTGCTCTAAACAGTCCCCTCAGCCAAGTCCTTTCATTAAAAATTTCCCACCAAAGCATCGAGATCAAGTCTACTTCTGACTTTCATTATTTTGCAGGCCTGCCCTCCCCTCCCCGTATGCACACGAGTCCCTGCAGTGTGGCCTTATGCCCAGCATATGAGGCCAGTGAGGCCCGTCTTTGTAGCTGACAGGATCCCCCATTCTGGGGGCCTTCGTGATGCGTCTGGTTGTTCCCGTTACCATGCCGGCTGCTGAGAGTTGTTCTCTATACAACGCTCCTCCTGACCTTGATAACCGCCCCTTCCCTGCCCCTGCAGCTCTGGCCCAAGTGTGGGGCCTTCGCCGTCCAGTCAATACCTGCCATTCTTCAGGTGACCTTTTAATCGGGGGACAACTACAACGTTGCTCTCCCGTTCCAGTCTCCTTACTATCTACCCTGCCCTAAAGAAACATGCCACCTTCTCTGGAGCACCACCACCCGCCCCTTTAGCCACCATCTCCACTTCATTCAGGGGACGTGGTCTCCTCCTCAACCGCTCTCCACCAGGTTCTCGCCCCACTAGCAAAACATCTCCACCTGACAGTAAATTCCAGAGTAACTTTAATGTGGCGCTCACATGACAATTATTTGTATCTCCCTTTGGTTGTTTGCCCTGCCACATTTTTATTCCCCGCAGTGTAATTTCATCTACCACCTGTACAGAGAAGTAACTCAAGCTGGGTTCCCACCCCGTCTCGAGCCGCTCGTCTCCCGATACTCGGCCTCCCCGCTGCAGACACACCACTCACACAGCGACCCCGTGTCCACGTGCTTTGTACCAGGGCCTCTGTACCAGGGGCATCTTTACCTTTGTCCTTCCGGTCCTCCTCACCGGGACTTCCCACTGCCCTTCAGGCCCTGTTCTTCTGTCGTCCTCCATACGGCTTTCAGTCGGGCTTTCAGACGCAGCATATGACCAAACCGACCAATGATGAGATCTTACGGGATTTCCCATTCTGGGGAAGTCTATTCCTCACCCTCTCTGCCCCTGCCACTCCCCCTGCTCCCCACTGCCCTTTCCACAGCACTCCCTTGACGTAATCTCCGTCTCTCCTTTCCGACATGACCATCAGCTGCGCTGCAAGCGTGGCACCATACCCTTCCCGCCCAAACCCGCTGATCTGCAGATGCCCCGCCTCCTCTGCAGGCTCTCCCGCTCCTTCCCGGGCTTGGCCCCCGCTTGACCTCCATTACCTACAGAGCCGCTTGTTTTGTCAGCTCGCCTCTTGGTATCGTTTCTCATGGATTCTGCTGTTGTCTCGTTCCTCTTCCTTGTTCCGTCCATGCTCTTCCACATGCACTTGCCCCCCTCAGTTCAACCCCGACCTTCACGGGACTCCTGCCACCCGCCGTGGCTGACGTCCATCCCGCTTCGACTCTTTAACCTCTCACTGTTGGTCACACTGTGGCACTCCCTGACACCACTTCTTATTTCGCCACTTCGTCTCCACAGCCTCCCTCCTTCGGCTGTAATCTAGCCTAGCCCACAGCTCCCTGCTTACTGTGCGGCTCTGCCATCTCCCGCCCACCTCCCCCCACCCCTGCCTGGCCCTCTGTGCCCTTTCCTCCTCACACCTTCTGCTCTGCTCCACACCTTAAGTGCCCTCCCTTCTTGGCTTCTAGCCTCCAGCTTCTCTCTTCTCCTCCGTGCCCAGGAAGTGTCACTTTTAGTCCTCACACAGCAGGTAGCTTCCAAGAGCAACCACCTTTAATGGCACTTCACGAAGTAAACTGTGACACCTCACCCAGCCCTCCTTTACTTGCCCCCTCTTGACGGGAGGAGGGGGTGCCAGACCCTTCTCTTCGGATGTGCTCCCTCATCCTCTTCAGCCGTTCCCCATGGCACAGTCAGCTCTTCTCCGGACAGACCACGTCCACGCACTCTACTAAGTCAAGCCCGGGATCTCTGAAGTCACCAGCAGTAGCTTTTCATCAACTTCCCTATCACCCAAGTCCTTCAACTCCCAATTTCCCTCCAAATGGGTGCTCCGGGAGCTGGTCCGCTCTTGCCTCCTCCTCAAGTCCTTGCTCCTCACACTTTCTTTATACTTCTCCTACTCACAACACCCAAAATGTAACCAGTGACCTGTTTCCAGCTCTGACAAGATGCCCCATTCCAGACCTCCTTCATCCCTCACCTGCTCTGCCTTGTGGGCCTTCCACTACTGTGTTTCCTTTTCTCTGCTTCTAGCCTCTCCTTTCCTTCATATTGTGTCATGACTGGTGGCCCAGGAATGATGTCCCGTCCTTCCAGCCGTTATGTCATTCCTTAGTGACTCCTTTCTGTCTGAGGGCAACTTAAATGCTGCTTTTTCTGTACCTTTCCTCCTTTTCCCCTACGTTTGTCCTAGAGAAAAACCTTCGCTTTCAACATCCCTCCAGCCATGTGTAGAGCATTCCCAGGGATTCAGCACTCTTTCCTGGTGGGTATTTGCTCTTCATTTTTAGCACTCACTCCTCAAGTTGCGTCCATCTGCCTGGATTTCCTACACACTGTGTACGGCATCCATTCCTTCTCAGTTCAGTCCAGACCTGCATGGACTGCTATAGTTAGTCTGTTTTGCATCTAGCCCTTCTACCCCTTTCTAATTTCAGCTCCATTGGCTACAGCCTTTAAATTATTTCAACAAAGCTTTCTGGAGTGTCCTCAAAGCCCCCATGTCTTATTTAATCAGTCTCCCCTCCAGTGGTTGAGACCGGGCAACTCCCCACCGAATCTTCCACTCTGCCATTTGCTACACTGCATGTCCTGCACCCCAGCCTAACTCCCACGTCTCTCTCCTGACTTCATTTCCAGCATCTCTTTTCTCTAATTTTGTGTTCTTTCACACAAGTCTCCTCAGTAGCTGTCTCTCATTTCAGTCAGTCCTCTTAAGACAAGCCTCATTTCTGAGAAGAATTTTAATGTAGATCTCCAGGGCATTCTGCCTTTATTCCCTTTGGTTATTTGCCTGGCTTCATTCATGAAGTCCTCAACTTTGTTATGGCAATGGATTCAATATTATTCTCTCGCCACGAAAGGCCCCCTCACTCCCTCTCCTCATCACCCAGTGTTAGCCATCCTTTCTAGCAACATCAATAGATTGCTACCAGTGGTTTTACTGGAGTTCACCTTAGATGCCCTGTAACCTCTCCTTCTATCAACCAAACCATTTAATTAAAACTTTGTCACAGAACTTTCAGAAACATTCTGATACTATTCCTCTTTGCTTCCTTAATCTGTTTCTGTGTCACTTACTTATATATTAAGTGTCTTATGTCCTCACTTATACATAAAATTCAACCAGTTTGCCCCAGGCTGTGATCTACCGTTGTTCCCAGTGATCTCCT